GTGACAAGCTTCTAATTGGAGGAGTCAATGGGACTAGGTCCTAGAGGAATGCTTGTCCATCAAGAGGGAAAGTGCAAGACCACGGCAACAGCTTCCTGCACCTTCTAGAACTGTGGCTTTATGTGCTGGATGACCACACCCCCACCCCAATCATACCTGGTTATATAAGGCAACCTCGACCCTTCCCTCTTCAGAGCACTGTGTGGTTGAGCAATGCAGCGTACCAGGAGAAGTGACTAGAAGCAGCCCATATGCCCCTTCAGCCTGGGAGGCTGGGCTGAAGCACGTGGCAGCCTCTGAGAAGCAGAGTATTCGGGTGACCCGCAGCCTTCTGGGGGTGAGTGGGCAAGCCATCGCACACTGCGGATTGGGTAATACACGAGGCAACGGGGTTTCTTTCTTTCTTCCTCCCACCCCATCATTCTTTTATAGAGCTCTTTGTCTTTCTGTTAAATTCTTCTCAGGTTACTCTTTAAAAACAAGAGGAATAAGAGTCAATCATCCTGTTTTACTGTGAACTTGTTAGTGTGCTTATCATCTTAACATCCTGATACCTTATAAGGCCTTATCACTGTTTTATTACTGTTATAGAGATATAGTTAGTATCATAGATAGTTACCTACCTTTCTTTGTTGTTCTCCCTTATTAACTTGTTAACTGTGGTTGCTTAATTTTTGTTATTGTATTGTTAACTGTTTATATTTGTTATAAGATATAAGGTAGTAGTGTATAGCTACAGTAGTTGTTAAGTAAGTGCTTTGAGAACCTTTGCCACGAGCAAACCCCGCTCGAAACACACCCAAAAGAACCTGAAAGGCAGGCAGGGGTCAGTTTAATGAAAGAGTTGAAAGATACCATGGCTTGGTTTTATTTTGGGTGCCGCCCCTCCGCCGTGACAGAGCCACATACTGGAGCTGCCATAAGCCTAGGTTGGATACTGGAAAGAGGAGAGTGGTCTGAGAGTTGGCTCCTGGAGGGACCAGGAGGTCCAAGCCAACTACTGGGGAGACTAAGAGGTCTGGGGGTTGACTGAGGAACTCATTTGCATGTGTCTGTCTCTGTGCATGTTGCAAAGGAAGCCAGGAAATCTTGGGGGGGATCCATAATGTCTGTGCGTGGATGTTGGTTTGCATATGGGTGTGCAAAGTAGCTTGAAGGCCAGGGGATCCAGGGCCAGCTACTGGATAGACTGCGTATCTAAGGCCAGTTACTGGGGAATATCCATAGCGTGTGTGTGTGTGTGTTTGTGTGTACATAATTAAAGAGCTATCAGTGGGGTTGTGGGCCTTTGGGGCTTATACGTCCAGGAGCCAGAAACTGGGTAGACCTGGGATCCAGAAGCCAGTTAGTGAGTAGACTGGGATCTCTTACTAGATAGACTGAGTGTCCAAGGCCAGCTACTGGAGGGATCCATATTGCATGTATTCATACATTTTGGATTTTCATCCTGAACTGCCAGAGGGAGGGACAGGATTAGGCCATTTGTGCTCTTGTGTATACATGAGTGTTTCTATCTGTCTTAATTTGTGTGTATAGATATGTGTATATTGTATATACTGTCTGTGGGCCTATTGGGAATAAAGCTCAGCCTCACTACTGGTTGCATCTGGGAACATGGAGCTGCAGCAGCCTTGCTTCCATCAGGCTACCAGATTTGACAACGCCATGAGTGTGTCTCACAGAACATATAAAGAAGTTCCAGCATTTGCAGATTAGTGACCGTGTGCAAAGCACTCCATTCTTGCCACACTGACCCCAACAGAGGTCTTCAAGCTTTCTCAGTTGACACGCGGCCCAGTGACCCATGGAAAGCATGACCATTCCTTCCTGGCATTGGAAAGTCACTGAGACATCTTTCTGTGTCTTTTCAGCTCTCTGGTTACAGCAGGAAGACGAGCATCCCACTGTGGCGGGCAGCAGCAGCTCACACCCTCTGTGATGACTGGCCAGACCTAACAACTCTTCAGAAGAATCAGAGGTTGTTAAAGTCTCTCTCCCTGAAACAAGGGGACTCAGAAGGCCAAACTGGCAAAAAAATGGCAACCAGTCCTGGGTAGTCGGCTATCTTGTGTTACCATTGAGCCACTGCAGTAAGCTTAGATTGGAAAATAATACATTGCCAGTTAAGGAGAAAGACATGGAGCACTTCCTTGGGACTCAGCGTTTCTGGACAAGCCACTGGATGAGAAAGAACTTTTGTGCTGTTAGTGGCCAGGCTATTCCTACGAAGTATTTGAGCTATGTCTCTATGGGGACAGGTGAGATTCAGGGGGCTGTTCATGTTAAAATGACTTAAGACCACAAGGTGGGTAGATGATTGCAGAGTGTGCTTATCCACAGTGCTTCTGT